ACCTTTCTATTGACTAGGTAAATTCAGAAGATCAGGCCTTACCAACTCTTTCTTATGCGGTACTGCAAAAATAAATTAGCTTAACACCACGTTTAACTTCCATGGCTCAGTGTTATAGGATACTGGGATTAGTAGTTTTGTGAGATATTTCACCTTCCCTGTGAGGGAGCTCTGGTGCCCTATCAAACTACAAATCTCAGAATTCTATATCATTGAGCCATGGAAGTTAAAAGTGGTGTCAAATTGCTTTATTTCTGCAGTAAGGCAGCAGCCTCAGAGTCTACAGATTGTCTGCCGATGTTTTGTGCAAAATAACAGGTTCTTTTTAAAATCTTGGGGGTTTTTTTGCATAAAACCCCAAGTATGAGTGATTTTTTTTAAAACAAAAAGTCCAAAAGTGTGAACAAAATCTGACAGCAGTTGGCCATTTTTTCATCAAAGATGAGAAGATGTGTATGTATATAATGCTAGTCTGTTGTAGTTGAAACTAGCAGCTAGACATACCTCAGGGTCCAAAATCAAATAATTGGTTCCAGATAGAATAGACACACTGCATCAATGGTACTAAGGTCCCATTGATTCATTTTGCAGTGGGCCTTGGATGGATTACAAATGCTGATGTTACTTGTAATGATGGGTAGACATTACTTTTTGGCAAGATCTTTGGACATTTTTGTATTTTCAAATGCATTTTTAAGAAGTGTGTATTTAAATAATAGTGTGTGAATAATGAGTAACAAGTAATAACGACAAGCTACTTCTAAAAATGCACATTTAAAAAATTTAAGTAATGAATTATTTAAAAAAATAATCCTAAGCCTTGGGTAGAGATTGGGAAGAATTTTGTCCAGTTTGCTTCTGGTGAGAATTCACCAAAATTCAGAAATTTCTTCATACTCATGATGTAAAGAAATCGAGAGAGAAAGAAATGCAAGAGAAATAAAAACTGGCAGATTAAGTCATCCAGTTCCTCGGCTTGGAGTGATTAACTCCTAAATGTCTGAGTTTCAGTTCTTGGATATTCATTCATTCATTTTAGTGAGGCTGAATTAGGACTGCCACTTCTTTTGTCTTTGAGGCCTCTGCTCTTTTGCACTTACATGGGCAGATACAATATGATCTTCTCTATGCTAGAAGCACCTGGACTGATTAAATTTGGCTAGTACAAATGAGGAAGAATTTATTTGCCGTGCTTTCCAAAATTTGCATATGTCTTAATATTTGAGATGAAAAGACTCATAGAGTCTTTCATAGAGTCTAGAACAGGGGTAGGCAACCTAAGGCCTTGGTGGGCCGGATGCGGCCCCTCGAGGCCTTTGGACCGGCCCTAGGCCGGTCTTGCCGCCGCCGCCCGCCAGGATGACTTTGATTATTGTTGTTATTACTTGTTCTTGGGGTTTGCTTGGTAAAATCTCCACAGGGGTTTTGCCATGGTTTTTCTGGGGCTGAGAGAGTGTGCATGCATTTTTAAAAATTTTTAAATTTTTAAATTTTAATTTTAATATTTATTTATTTATTTATTTTTGGTGCTTCAGCCTCCCAATTGTCCGAGGGACAGCAACCCGGCCCCCGGCTCAAAAAGGTTGCCTACCCCTGGTCTAGAATTATAGAGTTGGAAGAGACTTCAAGGGCACACAAGTTGAAGCACCCCCATCCAGCCTGTCTTTAAAAACTTCAAAAGAAGGAGACTCTACCACCCTTTAAAGCAGCATATTCCACTGTTTTTTTTTGTGGTTTTTTTCGGGCTGTGTGGCCATGTTCTGAAAGAGTTTCTTTCTCTTTCAGAACATGGCCACACAGCCCGAAAAAACCCACAAAAAAACTATGGATGCCGGCCATGAAAGCCTACGACTTCACAGCATATTCCACTGTTGAGCAGGTCTTACCATAATGTTGAGGTGGAATCTCTTTTCCTGTAGTTTGAATCTATTGGGTTGGGTCCTATTCTCTGGAGCAGCAGAAAACAAGCCTTATCCATCCTCAGTATGACATCCCTTCAAATATTTAAACATGGCTATCTTGTCCCTTCTTAACCATCTCTTCTCCAGGCTAAACATACCCAGCTCCTTAAGCCGTTCAACATAAGGTATGGTTTCCATAACTTTCACTATTTGGTCACCCTCCTCTGGAAACGCTCCAACTTGTCAACATCCTTTTTAAATTATGGTGCCCAGAACTGCACAAAGTATTCTGGGTGAGACCTGACCAAAGTGGAATGGATAAAAGTTGAATATGGGAGAAAGCAGATTTTTGTTATCCCTAGTCCAGGTAATTTGCAAACTGAATTCTAACCTCAGAACTTGAGATTCCACATTTATGCCATAGAATTACCCAAGATACTCTTTCTGGGGAATATGTTTAAAAAAGTTTTTAGTTTTCTACAAGCAAACAGTCCTTTTTTGTTCTTTAGAAATATTAATGTCTGAAAGATCCGATCTTCTAAATGAGCTTGTTTCATTCTTAAGATTCTCAGGGATGTCCTTCACAAGTCTGTCTAGTGAGGACATTCAAGAGGACCTTCTTGGTGGTTGCTCCTAAATTGTGTATTCTTTCCCTCCACAGACTCTTCCTCTGCTCTCCTTCTTTTGGCAGATGTAAAGACTTGTTTATTTAATTTGATAATTAACCAGTTGTTCAGAAGCGTCTTTTAATGGGGCATATGAGCTGTGCTTTCATTATTATTGTCATGTTTTTAAATGCTCTTACACGCTTAAAATTTTTATAGCTTTTAAAGCTGCCATGGATCTTATCTTGCGAAAAAGGCATGATATAAATAACATGATATAAATAACAGGAATCTGTTACAGCCAATAAAAACTAGGCTGTCTCAGACCTCCCAGAGGGCCTTTTCTGCAACCGCTCCTAGGCTATGGAACGGCCTGCCGGACGAGATCCATCTTATTATCACTCTTGCTGCCTTTATAAAGGCGGTAAAGACTGATCTCTTCCGGCAGGCCTTCCCGGAATAACCGCCTGGCTTGAAATCTTGAAATATTGAACATTGAAATATTGAAATGTTGAAATATTGTAATGTTGAAATTTTGTTATTGTGATGGTGATCTGCTGTATTGTATTTTATCTCGGCTTGTTTTTAACTTCATGATGATTTAATTCAGTTTTAAGGGATGGGTGGGTAAGAGGTGGGAGGTAGAAACTGTTTTATTTGTTGTATTTTTAATCTGTTGTATGCCACCCCGATTGCTGATCAGAGGGGCGGGTTATAAATAAAATTTATTATTATTATTATTATTATTATTATTATTATAAATAAGGGATTATTTATTTAGGGAATTCTAAAAGAAAATCAGCATGTGTGTTATAGATTATAGCAAAGCTTTTGACTGCACAGATCATGAAAGGCTATGGAATGCTCTTAAAGATATGGGAGTGCCAATACATCTGATAGTCCTGATGAGGAATCTGTACTCAGGACAGGAGGCTACTGCAAGAACAGAACATGGAGAAACAGAATGATTCCCAGTTGGCAAAGGAGTCAGACAAGGCTACATCCTTTCACCTTATCTGTGCAACTTGTATGCAGAACATATTGTAAGAAAAGCAGGCTTGGACACAGAAGAAGGAAGAGTGAAAATAGGAGGAAGGCATATCAAAAATCTAAGATATACAGATGACATAATACTAGCAGAAAACCTCACAGACCTGGAACACCTACTAAGGAAGATTAAAGAAGAAAGTGCAAAGGCAGGCTTAATGTTGAACATAAAGAAAACAAAAATAATGACTACCAAAGACCTTCACAAGTTCAACCTAAACCAGGGGTAGGCAACCTAAAGCCCGGGGGGCCGGATGCGCCCCCCCCGAGGTCTTTGG